TGGAGGTAACACCCAAATCTACTGAGGTTTCCAAGCTTTATGTCCAGTGTCCAAAAGGCACTTTAATTATCAGCAAATCCCAGACTGGTTTGGGTTGGAAGGGATCTTAAAGCTCATCCAGTCCCACCCCCTGCCAAGGGCAGGGACACCTTCCACTATCCCAGAGTACTCCAACCTGGCCTTGGACACTTCCAGGGATGGGACAATCATAGACTTTTTTGGGATATCTGTACCAGGACCTCCCCACCCTCCCAAGGAAGAAAATCCCTAAAATCTCATCTAACCCTGCCCTTTTGTCAGCCTGAAGCCATTCCCTTTTGTCCTGTCACTACAAACTCTTCCAAACAGTCCCTCTGAACTGTCAGCCTCCTACTTTCATTTCTCCCCCTGAAATTATTCTGTGTATTTTTAAAAAGTTCTTGTCTCTAAAAGCTTTCCTAATTATGAAATTATAGCACAGCAAGACATCTGTCAGTTGGACTCCTGATCCTAACTCCTCTTAGGGCAAGGGTGAAAATGGGGATGCTGCATTACCTCCACAAGAAAAAGCGTAAAATGCTTCCCATGTCCCTCTCCTATTAAAAATTACCCCGTTCAGCTCACAATCCCAACCCCAAACTGGATTACTACTGCTTTAAATCCCATTTTCTTGCCAGTTTTCAACCAAGAAAACCAATTTTTAGCTGCACCTCAAAGTGCAGTTTGAAATGAAGGTCTTTTGCTGATACCAAAGGAATGCTTAAAAAGCCACTCCTCAGAGTACTCCCTGAAGAAGAATAATCAAAGGAGTCTTAGTTCACACAATGGAAAGAATGAGGATTTGAACCTCACCCAAAGGGTGGCAGAACAGACACACTCTGCTATTCCATGGACTCTTCCTGCCCCACTTACAGGGAACGGAGCAGAGGAACCACAACAATGCACAGAAGGAATATTTATCCAATTTTGGACAGATCACATCTTTAGGATGGTTCAGTTCTTCACTGAAACTCTCCTACCACAGCATTACATCCCACACTGGAACTGCAAAGTCCCAAACCAGGTTATTGTGTAGAAAATGAAACACACAGGAGTGCCTGGATCCTCCACATCCATCATTTTGTGCTTCTGGAAGTTACTGATAGTGTTTTACAAGCAAAGCTCTGGAAATACCAAATATTTAAAAGCAGACAGATACGAATTCCTCTTGTAGGATCTGTCACACAGATTCATTATGAATAATTTGGATCCCACACAGCTGTCAGCATTTCAGTCATGAGAGCCCAGGCATCACAAGCTACAGCTTTATTTTTAGATGTATTCATTAGCTGTCATTTTTTAAATCATCAAAGAATTAACAGAATTCAGTGTTCCTGCAGGGATATGTGGGGCTGTAACCCCCACAGCAATGAATCAGCAATGTCAGTGATAGGAAGTGACCTCTGAACTTTGCCTTGAGGAAAAAATCAGTAGCTGTAATTAATTAAATCAGCTGATGACACAGCTCCTTGTCTACAAAAACATACCTCAAACATCACCTCTCCTAAATTTCACTGCTGGTGGATGCTGTCACATTAATGAGGCTGATCCTCTAATGTCCCTGCTTGGTCTCCCACCAACCAGAATAAAAATATCAGCTCCAAGGGTTGAGTATTAATGTCAGGGCACAGTTGGACATCCTGCATCTTAAAACCAGCATCAGGTCTACAGGTGGAGCCAGCAGGAAAAGCAGAGTAAAGGCAGGGCCATCCCATTCATGAGTTAGGGAGTGAAGTGGCACAGGGGAAAGTGGCAGAGCAGTAAATTAAACTGTAAGCAAAGCTCAGAAGGGAATGTGACACTCCCACACCTTCCAAGGTGAAAAGGTACTCAGAACACAGGGCTTTAATTCCATGCCACATCCATGACCCAGCTCCATCCCAACCCTCAGCCACTGCATCTTTCACAGTTGGAAACCATTCAGCACATCCAGTGGTTCTGAGCACATTATTTATTCCATTATTTCAGGATCCAGGAAAGGCCGTGCCTTAATTACAACAGCATGTGCAGAATTGCAAGGAGTCAGTTCCCGATCCCCAGCTTCCCAAGGAGGCTCCAATTCTCCAGGAAAACATTTGCTTTCCTAACACAAGGAGTGCTTTTCACATTTCACAGTGAAAAATTTAGGGATTTAGGGACTGCCCTGCCAAGTGACCGAGCCAAATCCCAGCTTGGCACAACGGGGAATGACACCAGGATGCCACAGGGACACCCAAAATGTCCCGGCAGCTCCAGCCCAAGTGCCACTTCAGAACATGCAGGGAAGAGCTGCTCTGGAGGAGATTTTCAGGCACATAAGGGAAAAATTAAAGAGACACAGTTCTGTTATGGTTTGTGGCAACGGCAGCTAGAATTGCCTGTTTGCAACAATTAAAAGGATGGAGCTGTGCCAGGGGAGTTGGAATGGATTTTAGGGAAAGGTTCTTCCCCCAGAGGGTTCTAGGGCTGTTCCCCAGCTCCCCAAGGAAAGGGCACAGCCTCAAGAGCTCCAGGAGGGTTTGGACACTTTTCCCAGGGATGCACAGGGTGGGATTTTGGGGTGTCTGGGCAGAGCTAGGAGCTGGACTGGATAATCCCTTCCAGCTCAGGATATCCCATGATTCTACAAAGTCAGTTTGTAGACAAGATGATGAAAACAAAGACCATATTTACTATTAACACTCACTAAGACAGCCAAAATTCATCTGAATTTTCTTCTAATTTTCCCAAATATTTCGGATTCAGAGCAGCACAAACACAAAAGGATTAAGACATATAAAATAAATGCAAACAAAGATCTGACTGACAGCTCAGAAGTCCCACGTGCAGAGTCACTCAGAGCTGTCTCAAGGCAATGGACTGTCACCGGAATGCTGCTGATTAAATAATAAAGACAGAATTTCCAGGTATTGACCCTTGCACCCCTTCATCTTCCATCATCTCCATTTCCAAGAATAACAGACAAGTTTCACCCCAACTTTCAGACTAGTAAGAAAATACACCCTAGGGTTTCCTACTAACTCTGTTTCCTGGTCAAAGACCAAAACATCCCTGTGGGTTCAAGACGCCTCAGCACAGTTTATATTTCCTAATCCTAAATTTCTGTGGCAGTGAGAATGATGCAGATACTGCCTGAACAATCCCAACCTCCTTTAGTGAAATCAAACCACAAACACAAGTTGAATTTCTACATGGACAACAATGTGTCCCTGTCACTGGGGGTGAAGGAAGAAAATTTACTAATAGTCAATTTCAAAGATATTTCTTTTGAAAACAAATATTTTGTACAGTTGTACCCCCCACAAAATGTTTGCACACTGAGAAAAACAAGAAATCAATCCACAAACACTCCTATGGTTACAAGCCAACACTAACAATTCACCACATCAGAAATACGTGTCAACAAACAATATCCACATTCCACCAGGGATAAAAACACAATCAGCATGAAAAGCTTCGGGGTCTCAGGGATAAGAAGGAGGCTGCACAACACGTCCAAGGATGCTTGGGGTTATCCATCTCACCAAACATAAAACCTACACCTCAACCAAAGCGTTATTTTGGAGTCAGGTCCACATGAGTTTCCCACAAACCTGCTCCCTTTTTTTTTTTCCCTGGCAAAGCATTTAGCTGTGCAAAATTGCCTTGCCAGCGACAGATGTGAGTACAAAGAGAAGTGATTTGCTACAAAAGGATTAATACATTTTGAAAGTTACTGTCTGGCAAACTGTCAAAGGGACTTTTATTGGTTTATTTTATTCTGGCTGTCGCTAAGCCCGGTGGCACGCAAGCCACTCTGGTGTGCCGGGAGCAGAACGACGTCAAACATCTCCCGGCTCCGGTCACCGAGCTGCCTCTGGTCACCACAGAGGTCATTTCAATGTCTGGCCCTGCTCTTCTCCAGTGCTCCCAGTTCAGTGTGTGCCCTTGCAAGCAGACATTTGGCCACTGACCGCTTGACCACTGACCATCTGGCAGCCGTGTGGCCACCAAGGGTTTGACAGCTGCTGGCCAAGCACAGCCCCTGGAGCCGTTTGACCAGTGCTTGTCAGTGTTGGCACAGGGACCGTGTGACACCCGTTTGAGCCCTGACCACCTGACACCTGTCTGACCACTGACCATTTTACTCCCATCTGACCTTGGACCGTCTGACATCTGTTTGACCCCAGTGGATTTGACAGTCGCTATCTAAGCGCAGGCCCTGGACCCGTTTCACCAATGACCACTGTTACCTGCTTGACCACTGACCAGTTTGCACCCATTTGACCACTGACCATTTCACACCGTTTGACCAGGGACTGTCTGACCTCGAGGATTTGACAGCTGCAGTGTGAGCACAGCCCCTGGCACCGTTTGACCTCTGACCACTTGTCACCCGTTTGACCACTGACCATTCCATACCCGTTTGATCACCGACCACTTTCACCGCTGAGCATTTCATGCCCGTTTGACAAGTGACCACTCGCCCCTCATTTAACCACTGACCATTTCACACCCGTTCAACCAGGACCGCTCGTCACCCGTCCGACCCCCGAGCTCTGACGGCCGCCGTCCCAGCGCTGCCCGCGGAGCCCCCGCTCCTCGCCCCGGCACCTCTGCGCTCGCCCCGGGCCAGCCCCGCGGCCCCTCGGGCACGCCCGCCCTGCCCGGGCGCTCTCGCGGCCTCCCCGGGCGCGGTGACAGCTGCGGCCGCCCGTCCCCGCCGCCTCGGCTGGACCCGAGGGCACCGCGACAGCTCCGGGTGGGCCCGGGAGGCTCCAGCCAGGACCGCGGGGGGATCCCGGGGCATCGCGGGGCGCGATCGCGGCAGCCCCGA